CACATAAGCAAAAAGAAAAAAGCCGGAAGTGGCGCTGTGGCTCAAGTGGTAGAGCGCTAGCCTTGAGCTGAAGAGCTGAGGGACAGCGCCCAGGCCCAGGGTTCAGGCCCCACGACCGGACCCCCCCCAAAAAAAAAGAGTAGGTAAGGAGGCCTGGAAGGCTGTGCTAAGGCTTCAGGACTGTCAGGAGGCAAGCAGGAACAACAAATCAGTTTAGTGCAAGAAAGCACTTGAGAAGAGTGGTAAATGTGGCAAACTGCCAGGGACTAGACACAGAAAATGGAAGGGAGAGTAGCAGTCAGCTTGGAGCTCTCAGATTCTCCCACTGTCTGGTGAAGCTGGTGGAGAAACACCACTATGGGTCAACACAGATGGCCTAGAGGCCAAAAGAATGTTACATAAGGGCAAGAAGTGGAACATGGATGGCCAATTCCTAACTTGCAAAAGCTAAGCTGGTCAGAAGAGAAGAGAACAGTGGATGCTTTACCCACAAAGCCAGTGCTGTGAGGGCTGGGCCTCAGGCAGCCTTGGCCTTGACTTCAAGGCCTGTAGGAAGCAGTGGGAGACTCAGATCAGAGAGCAAGGGATCAAACAGAAGCCTTGGGAGCTCTGAGCATTGGTCTTCTGAGGGGGAAGGGGAGGAAACTGAAGCAAAAGTAGCTCAAAGGAAGATCCTCCTGCCTATAAGGATGCTTTGATGCTCTGTTTGTTGGGCTGATTATTTCTGCCATGCCAGTTCCCCCATTAGTCCTCCAAGTCTAGGTTCCGACAATGGTGTTGGGCATGCATACTTGGGGTACACACCTAGGGGAAACAGAAAATCCCCATTTCCCTAGTCCCCATGCTATACTACCCTGTATTCACCCCCAGTTCATCATAGCCATGAGGCTATGCTATATTCAGCTATTTCCCCCCCATTTTCTGGTATTTGTCACCCCACTTGCCACCGCCCTGGGCATTCAGATAGTGGAAGAAAAGAACCAGAAGGTTGAGAGGCCTCTGACAGCTGGGAGGGGGCTCTCCTGCCTCCCTTCCCACCGCTGCCAGTTCTCTGATCTCTCACCATTCCTCAAGCAATTATAGAGCAAACTAAGGTTGTTAGCTCAGCAGGCCCCGACCCCCCATCAGCACCACCAAGGGCAAAGGAGGAGGGGCAAGTATTCCACAGATGGAGCCAAGGCCCAGCCTGCTGAGGGTGACAGACAGAGTGAGAAGTGGTTGGAGGGAGCAGGAGAGGCTGAGACATGGGGTGGGGAACGGGAAACAAAGACAGCCTTTGGAAGACTAGGAAAACTAACAAGAAGAAATCCACCAATGGAGATCCAGGCCAGGGGAAAGGGAGGGAAAAGAAAAAAAGGAGTACAAAGGGTGAGAGACCGCTGCAGAAAATACTGCTCAGAAATGGCAGCAAGAAGTGGAGTGGGCGTGTGCATGTGCGCCTGCGTGGAGGCAAATGATGCCTCCACAGCTTTCCTGTCCCTAAGGGGTGTGCCAGGCAAGGGGCGGGGAGGGAGGAGAAGATGCGCCTGGGTCAGGGAGGGGCCCTTCTCAGGCTAGCAGGTCAGGCTGGATGAATGAGCCGAGTGGAGAGACAAATAGAGGGTAAAGAAGGACCCAGAGAGACAAACAAAGCCACACAGTGATAGGCAGCAAATCCCTGCCCACTTGTGGCACGAGGGCAAGAGGACAGTTGTAAGACAAGATGAATGACCCACTGCTGGCCAACCCACCTACACGAGCCAGAGGACAGGTGGAGACTCCTGCAGGGAGAAGGGAGGTGGGAGAGAGAGGTAGGGGGGGAGATTACAATAGATCCTTGAAAGATTGCTCTGTGAGTGTGTGTGTGTGTGTGTGTGCATGCATGTGCATGCACATGTGCATATGTATGTGTACATGTGTTTGAATAAGCAGCCGCCAGGCTGGGGGAAGTGCACATGCAACCACAGGCACAACAGTGCCTCTGTGTGGTGTGTGTGTGTGTGTGTGTGTGTGTGTGTGTGTACACCAACTGTGTACACCAGCCTCTGTGCTGGAAAAGAGCCAAACACATCCTGCCCCCCCACCCCTTGTGGGAGGGGGGGTCTCACAAACTGCACTGATTAGGTGGGAAGAAGGGGTGTGGCAGGCAATGAGGAGACAAGGCTTATAGGAAGATCGGTGAGGGCTCCAAAGGAGCCTCACCCCTGACCCCCCCAGCTTGTGCCCTGGATCCCTTAGGGAGTACTGGTCTACTCCATAACATACTGCATTGCCATCTGCACCACATAGCTTGCCTGTCTGAAAGGAAGCTGGTTGCTAAGGAAGGACCTGAGAGGTTAGGGAGCCTGGCTGAGACCTGGGGTGCTGCTTCAATCCTGAACACACACACACACACACACCTACCTTCCAGGGGGCATCCTGCATATGCTTACTGCACATGTGTCCACCAGCTCCCCACCCTGCTGGGGGTAGTTCTCAAATAAGAAGCAACAAGCTGGGCACCAGTGGCTCATGCCTGTGATCCTAGCTACTCAGGAGGCTGAGATCTGAGGATCATAGTTCAAAGCCAGCCCAGGCAGGAAAGTCCATGAGATGTAACATCCAATGAACCACCAGAAACAGGAAGTGGAGCGCTAGCCTTGAGCAAAAGAGCCTCAGGGGGACAGCACCCAGGCCCTGAGTTCAAGCCCCACAATGGGGGGAAAAAAGCGATATGAAAGCCCACTTCACGGATGGAGCAGTATCAGGGCCTTTCTGCCCAGCATCTGTTACAAATGGCAGCATTTGATGTCTCAGCAGTCCAGATCAGGGACTGGACTGGTGCTCAGTGCCCCAAGTACATGGAAAGGTCAATGTGGGTGGCAGATCCCTGTCCTGTGGGCCTAGGGGCAGTGTGGGAGCGTTTGTGCCTGTCAGTGCAGATATAAGGTGCCGGGTGTCACCTGAATCTCATACTCCATGTCCCTTTAAGGCTTCTCCTCCCCCTCCCCACCAGGCTGTGGCTGGCTGGTTTCTATGGTGATGGAGCCTGTGAGCAGAGGTGGGAGAAGCATTGCTGTACGTAGCCTGTTGGGTTATTTAGATAATACATAAAGGCGGCTGCTCAAGGGAGCCCCCACAGGTAACTGGAGGCCCAGAAATCATAGGCTCCCCCTCCCCCCTCCCTAAATGAGGAATGGAGCAAATGTACCTCAGCCCCACCTCAGCTCCCCTCTCTCTCATTCTGCTTCAGCCCCCCTCATCCCAACCCCCCCCCCTTTGCTGGAGGCTTCAGTCTCCAAGGCAACTAAGGCTCACCTGTAAAGGACCATTTTCCTTAATGGTAGGGAGTGGGGAAGAGAGAGGTTAACTCTTTGTAGGGAAGAAAGGGAGGATTCTTACTATTGGTTGGCCCCACCCTCCACTCCCTCCACCCTCTCACACTCCTCCCCCATCACACACACACACACACACATTGTGATCTCAGTCAGCTTCATTTTCTTAAATGAGTTTATGGGTAGCACTCCCTACATCCCAGGGCCTCTCCTATGCATTGTCAAACACCCGGATCCATCCCCCCTCACTAGCTCACTGAAGACAAGGAAATCAGGGCCCAGAAGTGGACACTCACTGGGATGAGATTTTA